ACTCTCACCTCTTCTCTCTTGAGAGGAGGTGTTCTCGGAAAGAAGGTTGGGCAACCTACTTCTGTAGTGATACTGCCTTGGAAACCCAAGGAAGGGTCACTATGAGCCGAATTCAACTTGATGCCAGTGAGTTTGGTGTTTGGTTTATCATAGCTCATCATGGAAGTGATTACATTATATTAAATCTCATTGTGGGGGATGACTACATAGTAATTGATAAACCACTGAGAATCATGGCCCAGCCAAGTTGACACACAACCTTAACTATCACAGACACCATAGAAACTGACAACAATCAACACCAACAATCAAATGTTTCCATCTAAAAGAGATAGCAGTCTCAATCCACCAGGTAGAATTAGTCAAAGGCTCACTCTCCAACACCTCCAATTACAAGGAGTTGGAATGTGGGAAAATGTAGCTATCTCATGTACTCAGAAGAAGGCAAAGGGACATACACTAGGAAGCTCTACCTTGCTTCCTTGGTTTATCTAAAACCAATTTTGGAATTATTATATGGGGCAAAGGAAGTGGGCAACTTTTTTCCCTTCTATATGATTTAACAGGACTTCCTGGTGGTACAAAAAGAGCTCTGGTGGTGCTGCTAAACCCACTAGCTGTTTCATGGGAGACAGATGAGGCAATCTACTTCTATAAAGATTAGTAGCCTTGGAAACTCTATTTTAATCACTATGAGTAGAAAGGGAGCTCTGGTAGCATAGTGGCTAAGTCACTTGCCTGCTAACCAGAAGGCTGGCGGTTCAAACCCACCAGCCACTCCTCGGAAGGAAGGTTGGGCAATCCTACTTCCGTAGTGATACTGCCTCGGAAACCCAAGGAGGGGTCGCTATGAGTCGGGGCCGACTCGACGGCACATAACAACAACAACAACATGAGTAGAAATCAACTCAATGGCAGTGGGTTTTGGTGGAACAAATGATTAATGCATTTGGCTACTAACTTGAAGCTTGGAAATACGAATCCACTCAGAGTTATCTATGAAGAAAGGCTTGAGGATCTACTTCTGAAAAGTCAGTCCTTGAAAATCCAGTGGAACACAGTTCTACTCTGACACACGTTAGGTCACAATGAGTCCCACTCAACTTGATGGCAGCTGGTTTACTTATTTTGTATGACATAAATTCCACAAAAATGGAGAATGTTTGAACTTTTTGTATATCTAAGCTTCACATATAAATGTTTTGTGTACTTGTCTACTTACAACATCAGATTTGAAAATGAATCTGTGGCTTTATAATTAGGAAATAGCAACATAAAATATAAGAAAATAATTATAAAGCAGAAAAGATAAGGATGACTTTATTCCAAACATAAAACACTTTATTTTCTGTGAAAAAAAAAAAAAGAGTTGTCCCTTGCACATCAGGATGATACCAACAACTGGCCATATGTTCTTGAAGTGCTTCTCTTCTGGTGGAGACTGGTGACTCTCACCTCTTCTCTCTTGAGAGGAGGTGTTCATCACTGAGACTGCAGTTCAGGATTAATGCCAGTGTCTTATACTATGGAAAAGAACCTTCTCTCTTTGTGAACCAAATTGGCCTATATGAATATATAACCTATGAACTCGACCTTCCTCAGTCCTCACTTCAGTAACTAAATTATATCAGTATATAAAACATTACATTCTAACATACAAAATATAAGCCAATTGTTGTTGTTGTTGTTGTTATATGCCGTCGAGTCGGATCCGACTCATAGCAACCCCTCCTTGGGTTTCCAAGGCAGTATCACTACGGAAGTACATTGCCCCATCTTCCTTCTGAGGAGTGGCTAATGGGTTTGAACTGCCAACCTTCTGGTTAGCAGTCAAGTGCCTTAGGCACTATGCTACCAGAGCCCCCATATTACATATAATAAATCTATGCATCAATGATTCTTTAAGTTAAATAAAATACTGAAAAATACATAGCTCTTCAGGAAAGCACCTTCCTGGGGCTCACAAAATATAATTTTTCTATTCAATAGTTAATAACAGTTGGTCAATTTTTTCCACAGTTGAACCAGCTATTTGCTTTCAGGAGAGTCAAAATTCGCTTAGTGTTATGATCAAATTTGTATTGCCTTGTTCCATGGAAGAAATAGAAAAATCCTAGAAATAAAACAAAAGAGACTTATTATAATATACAAGTAGTTTCTAGTTTTCATTTGTATTCCCAAAAATACCAAGTCATTTGTGAAAACAAATATAGTTTGGAATTTGTTGTTCCAAATAAAAATCTTGATGCTATTATTATGGTCAAAAATGAAAAAAAAAAAAAGCAGAAAGGAGGAAATACATATATATTCCCTTACCATCTTTCTTGAAAACTGCATCAACTTTGTTGCCAATTCCAGGAAACTCATGAGCTATCATTTTGGGATAACCTGCATCCATGGATCGTCTATACTCATCATACCTGGTCAAGGAAGAATTAGCAGTGTCAGAACCTATAAGATCCCTCTGAATTCCAACATCAAATTCTAGTTTTCCAATAGGCTATACACTGTGTCCTATTAACCCTCTAATATCATTCTAAGAATGGTAAATTCCTTTTGGTTGAAGTAGCTCTGTAAAGATGAATGAACCTATTTTTGCATCTTCTTTTAAAAATTCAGCTCCCTATATTCACAGGACAGGTGTCACATGAAATATTAAATGAATACTGGGATGGCTACAGTCACCCATAGAAAAAGCAGCTGGTCATGGCTATATTAGCCTCACTTTAATATGCACAGAACTTTCCTTCTATGCAGAAAGCACTAAAACCCTATGGCTGCAGCTAGTCTTTACCTCCAGTACTTGTTAGCAACAAAGAAGTATGTTTTTCCAGTATCTTCTTCAGAAACAGCAGCATCGATATTCTTCACAGTTTTAGGGAAGCCGAAGGATGTGTGGATGTCCTTGGGGTATCCATGTAGCACTTCCTGCCCCTGAACAGCCCAGTATTTATTACCTGTCAGTCAAGAAATGGTGATGTAGATAGATTTGCTCAGGGTTCCAATAGACAGAAGGAGCACTTGTGGAGCAGTGCTCAAATAGATTTCTATCCAAGTCCTCTGTGTCACATGCTGGAGCAGTGTCCTGGCTGCACATTAGAATTGAATAGGCATATTTTTTAAAATACTGTTGCCAGGATCCTCCCCTAGACCGATCAAGTTAGTATATTTTTTAAAGCTTCCTAGGAGATTCTAATCTGTAGGAAGCTTTGAGAATGACTGGCTTATGGGGTTAAGGACCTCTTTCCCAAGTCAGATGTTTAAATAAATAGAGTAAATCATGCCACCTTAGTGATAGAAAGCTCATTTGTGCAGGTTGCCCATAGGAAGTTGACACCAATGCTATTCTAGCAGGCCCAGAGTAGTAATGACCCACAATCTGTAATAACCTTCAACTCTGGGTCAAAGCATTGGATTTGGGTAGAATAAGTTCCAAATTCTTAAACTTATGCTGCATCTAGATTCTGTGTGCTTATACTTAACAAGCCATGCATCACTTAAAAGTGATTTTATATCCTGAAGCAAGGATTACTCTATTTGCACAAATATGCTTATGTACCCCTTGTGAAAAAAACTGTTTGAAACTACTTCAGTTTCACGGCATAAAAGCCAGAGAGCCTGTTCCGAAGTTTTTTGGTCATCTCAACTACACTCAATTCTTTGCCAGGAATATATGACTGGACCAAATATCTTAATACTTGTCTACACTGTGTCAGATATATATTTGCAAAAATGCATGTATCGGGAACAATATCCACAAAGCCAGAAGCTTATCATTGGATTGTGTTTCATTCTGATAGAATCAAAGAAGTTTGTTCTATTGAATTGACAATAACTCAATAGTTCTCATATTTTATGTACTTATAAATTACCTAGAAAGCTTGTTAAAATTCAGATTCTCTAAAGAGGGTCTAGGGTAGGACTAGAGATTCTGTATTTCTAACAGACCTCTGAAGGATAGCATGGCTGCTGGCCTATGGACCATATCCTAGAAGAAAGTCTGTAGCTCTCCCACCTGGCTCTGTTCCCTACTCTCAGAAAGTTTCTTTATATTAAGATAAAAACTCATTGCCATGGAGTCAACTTCAACTCATGGTGACCCCATGTCTTCCAGAGCAGAATTTGCTCCACAGGGCATCTTGGTTGTAATCTTCACAGAAACAGATAACCGATCCTTTATTCCACAGCACCACTAGCTAGATTTAAATCCCCACCTTTAGGTTAGTTCCATACTTAGATTAGTAAACAGCACAAACTACTTGTCCACACAGGGACTTTTGTTTTAAGATTTTGATTCATAGCGACACTCATTGGTTTCTGAGGTGGTAAATCTTTACGGAATTAGATTGCCCAGTCTTCCTTCTGCAGAGCAGCTAGTGGGTTTGGACCTCTAACCTTCTGGTTAGCAGTCAAATGCTTTAGGCACTGCACTACCAGAGCTCCTTTGTTTTAAGATAAGTACTAGGATATTACAAAAATGGAAACTTTTAATTCCATACTCTATTGAAATGGCTCATATCTCTCAATTTATCTGTGAGCACTCTGAGAAATGTGGGGTGGGTTTTAAATAACGAGAGTCCTTGTGTGGTACAAACAGAAGGTTGGAGGTTTGTGTCCACCCACAGATGTCTGGAAAAAAGACCTACTTCCTTAAAATCAGCCATTCAAAACCATAACAGAGCACAGTTCTACTCTGACACATATGAGGTCACCATGAGTTGGAGCTTTGGTGGCGTAGTGCCTAAGGCATCTGACTGCTAACCAGAAGGCCAACAGTTCAAACTCACCAGCCACTCCTCAAAAGGAAGGTTGGACAATCTACTTCTATAGTGATACTGCCCGGGAAACCCAGAGAGGGGTCGCTACGAGTCAGATTTGACTCAATGGCAATGTGTGAGTGTGATGAGTTGGAAATAACTCAAAGGGCAACTGGGTGCTGGTTTAAATACATAAGTAATTTGCTCAGAAAGTATTCATAGAAGTCCAGATTTATAAATAGGTAGATTGGAAAATTTTTATCTCCAGCCATTTGCTTTCCACGTAAAATGTTTCAGAAATGCAATATTCAATTTGTAATTAAGATGATGGACTCCCATTGATTAGATAGGTGAAAGAATTTCAAAAGTTCATTGAGTGAAAATATCCAATAACTTCTTATATTTCAGCCCAAAACTTGTGGAAAATTAATCCATAAAAAGCAGTTAAAAATACATATATATGCATAAACATTACCTTTGAAAAACCTGACTTCATCTCTATCTGCAACTTCATAAACAGCTTGGAGTCCATTTGGAAGATGGGGCCAGAAAACAGAAATGAAATTGAGCTCAACTTCTGGGTAGAAGGAATTTATGCGCATGTAGAACCTGATTTAAAGAAACAAAAGACGTTTTGATGTAATAGCTAGCAATCTCTGGCTGGCATCCAGCTCTTTTCTATTGCTAGCACTAGTACTCTCCTGGTAAATATTTAACATTTGGCTTTAAAAAAGAAGTTCTGGCTTAGAGATTCATGGTAGTGCACCACTGTATAATATTCCAGCGCACAAATAACTCAAGAACATACATCAGTAATAAAATGTAATAAAATAATTATGAAGTGATTATTTAGTTTTAATATCATTTAATTGTAAGTTTATATAATGTAACTTTTAATAATGGCTCTGTTTAATAACCAACTTTTTAAAATTTAACAATTGGCTTTCAAAATTTAACAACAGGCTTTGGGAAGCAATCTGGAAACAGCTTCTGAACACCACTGGTTGGAACACAACAATGATTTCTCACATTTACTGACCACTTATAACATGCCAGATCCTGTGACTACATTCTGCCTCACCTCACAGATACCCAACAAAAGACAATTACTTTTAACTCACAAATGAGAAATTGATGTCAGGAAGGTTAGGGGAGGAATCTAACACCATGCACCTGGTAAGAGTCAAAGGTTAATTTTAAACTCAGGTGTGGTAGCCACTTTTTTTGTCATCCTTTAGTTGCGGGTTTATGTAATTGATTTTATAGTCTGTAGAGACTGGGTAAGTGCACAGTCCCACAAAATGTCATGGGGTTAGCAGAAGAGTTTTGCAGATACCACAACCAAAAACCAAAAAAACCAAACTCACTGCCCTCCAGTTGGATCTGACTCATAGCAACCCCTCCTTGGGTTTACAAGATGGTATCACTACAGAAGTAGATCACCCAACCTTCCTTCCGAGGAGTAGCTGGTGGGTTTGAACCACCAGCTTTCTGGCTAGCAGTCAAATACCTTAGGCACTACACCACCAGAGCTCCAGAAGGCCCCCAACAAACCAGAGTTGGGAAGGAACAAAAGACCATGCAGGAACTGGTTCATGGGAAAGAATATGGCCTAGCCATCAGGGATCTGACTTCCAGGTCCAGCCTGTGTCTACCTGCCTCTGAAGCCTTAGGCAAGTTATATATCTCAGGTACCATCTCTAGGCTTCTGAATCTTCCTGACCTGGCAACATTTAAATAATCTCAGTGTCCTGCAAATCCTATACCTGGTCCTCTCTCATGGAGTAATCCCTCAAATACTTGCTTGGATACTCATGCCCTGCTATCCTGAGAACTTTATTTCAACCCATCAAAAACAATGAATCCTGTTCATTGCCAGGGATAGGAGGGGAGGAGAGGAGCGAAAATAGTCAGATAGTTAAAGAAAAAAAAATCTTAACACCTCCCAGCAATGGGCTATGCCTGGAATGGTTTACATCCAGTGTTCTTATTCACTCAAAAATGTAGTAAAGAAGAAGATGGACGGAAAGCATTAGGAGTAGCATCCTGCATTCTGGAATAGATATGACCCCAAAACTGTAGATCACCAACCACAACTCTACAAGAAGGGAGCCTTCTGTGTGCTGAGGGGAAATTAGGCTTTCAGACTGTCCTGAATTTTATGAGAAGATACTCTTTAGCAGTACTGTTCTTTTTGGTGGGCTGCATCATTCAGATATACTGTATTATTATTTTGTCTGGCCCTTTAGCTATCAGTATGGTAGAGAGAAGAATCCAGTCCCTGTCTGTGAGGCATCTCAGCCTTCTTGAATCCACACTCTGCAGAGGAAGCCCTAGGATCCTTCTTCCAGAAAGAGGGAAGAACTAAGTAGTGACTACCCAAATCTGCCTAAGGGGGTTCTCATGAACTCTTGGGAATATGTACCCAGCAATTACACCTTCTCTTCTCTGAGCCTCCAGGAAGGAACAGAGACCTACCAGGACCACAGGCTTTAGGAAAGCCATCTTTGCAGGATGGAAAGGGTAAAAGTTAAAGGGTTGCCTTGCCGTTCTGGGCTTCAGGCAGCACCCTCACTGGCCTGATCCGAACCAAAAATACAAACTCACTATCATCAAGTTGATTTCGACTCATAGCAACCCCTATTGGGTTTCCAAGGTGGTAAATCTTTACAGAATTAGATTGCCCTATCTTCCTTCTGTGGAGTAGCTGGTGGGTTTGAACTGCCAACCTTCTGGTTAGCAGTCAAATGCCATAGGCACTGCACCACCAGAGCTCCTTCTGGCCTGATACCAAAGAAAACAAAAAACAAACAAACAAACAAACAAAACTCACTGCCACTGAATTGGCCTGATAGTGCTATGAAAAAGACTGATACTAAAAAACTTATTCTCGTAAAGAAGTGTTGTGAAAAGAGCCCTGGAGTACAGATCAGAAGACCAATTACTGCTCTGTCACCAGAGACCTCTATACCCAGAAAGAATCTCTTTTCTCTTGTCATTACTTTACTGATTTACAAAATGGGATTATACCAACTGATCTTCTACTTCCATGATATATTTCTGAGAATCAAGTGAAAAATTACATGTGGAAATCAAAGTTGCTTTACCAAAAAAAAAAAAAGAAAAAAAAACCCTACTGCCATTGAATCAATTCCCACTCATAGCGACTACCATAGGGTTTCCAAGGCTGTAAACCTTTACTAAACAGACTGCAAACCTTTACTAAACAGACTGCAAACCTTTACTAAACAGACTGCCTCATCTTTCTCCCACAGAGAAGCTGGTGGGTTTGAACCACTGATCTTTGGTTAGCAGCCCAAAGTCTTAACCACACTGCCACCAGAGCTCCTTCAAAATTGCTATAAGTAAATTATATTGTACAAATGTAAGTAATTACACCAACATAATTGTGAAAGAAAACAAATATAACATGAAAATAACTTGACGACAGTGAGTTTGGTTTTGGTTTGAGTTGGAATCGACTAGATAGCAATAAAGTTTTCTTTGTCGTCGTTTGATTTCTCAGGGAAGCAATAAGTTCTACTAGTATTTAATGGGAGCTCTGGTAGTGTAGTGCCTAAGGCACTTGAATGCTAACCAGAAGGCTGGCGGTTCAAACCCCCCAGCCACTCCTCAGAAGGAAGATTGGGCAATCTACTTCCGTAGTGATGTCACCCCGGAAACCCAAGGAGGGATTGCTATGAGTCATAGAGTTCATAGCAGTGAATGTTATTATTACAAATTCAGAACATACAGAATAATTGATTTCTTACCTGTCTTTAAAGAACATTAGTTCTCCTCGAATCGTAGTTACAGCATCAAAGGTAAGCTTACTATCACATGCCTGTGGGGTTTGTGGGGCTATTGGTTGGGTGGAATCTTGGGAAGGTCCTAAAGAAACCAAGAAAGAGATCTGGAGTTAGTTTTGGCTGGAACCGAAAACCATATAAGCAGTGAAAGACAACTTATTAAAGGATACAATTAAAGACTGTTCTATTTAAAATACATATAAAGCTCAATAGCCATTTATCTACAGTGTTTTTCTTTACACTCACCATAGATGGTCTGGATTCCATTGATGTCATCCTGAGATAGCTGAACATCACCACTGAAGATGTAATTGGGGTACATTAAAGCCCCAATATCAGTAGAATGGGAGAGTCCAAGGGAATGACCCAGTTCATGAGCCGCAACACGATACAAGTTGTAATCTAAAAAACCCAACAAGCTCATTTACAATTATTGAAAATATATTCAGTCTTTGAGTCTTTTAAATAAGAAGTAATCTACATTCTATAAGGCTAATGCTCTTATTGCACAGTGAGGTTTTGAAATATGTGTAAAACTTTTTCTGAAAGCAGAAAGATTTAATTTACTAATAGTGAAGAGGCAGATTAAGTCTCACCATAATTATACTGATACAATTAAAAGACAAGCTCTGCGGAGTGACAAGTTAGACAGTCCTACCACTGATTAGATGGCACATATTCTTTATCAGAAGGAGCATTAGTGGTGGTATGGTTAAGTGACTGGCTGCTAACCAAATGATGAGCAGTTTGAACCCACCACACTCCAGAAGAAACTGGCAATATGTTTTCATAAAGTTTATACCATTGAAAGCCCTATAGGATAGTTCTATTCTGTGTTATAGTGTGCTTAGGGCATTTGACTGCTAACCAGAAGGCTGGCAGTTCAAGCCCACCAGCCACTCCTCAGAAGGAAGATTGGGCAGTCTACTTCTGTAATGATACTGCCTCAGAAACCCAAGGAGCGGTCGCTATGAGTCAGATCCGACTTGACGACAGTGAGTTTGGTTTTGGTTTGAGTTGGAATCGACTAGATAGCAATAAAGTTTTCTTTGTCGTCGTTTGATTTCTCAGGGAAGCAATAAGTTCTACTAGTATTTAATGGGAGCTCTGGTAGTGTAGTGCCTAAGGCACTTGAATGCTAACCAGAAGGCTGGCGGTTCAAACCCCCCAGCCACTCCTCAGAAGGAAGATTGGGCAATCTACTTCCGTAGTGATGTCACCCCGGAAACCCAAGGAGGGATTGCTATGAGTCAGGTCTGACTCGACAGCACATAACAACAGCACAAGTATTTAATAGTTTTCTGTATTTACAAAATTGAAAAAAAAATCTCCCTTCCTTTAATTTCCATATAATCTTATTACTGCTGTTAAATTTTGGTGTGTCGTTATAGTTACAAAAGTCTATGAAGATTCTCATACTAAAAAATTAAGGTTTTCTGGTATGTTGCTTCCTTAAAAAGTTGGAAATAGAAATACTGTCTGATTCAGCAATCCCACTATTAAATATATATCTTAAAGAACTGAGAATTGAGACACAAACAGATACATGTACACCCATGTTCATCGTAGCACTATTCACAATAGCAAAAACATGGAAACTATTTAAATGTCCATCAATGAATGAATGGATAAACACACTACGGGACAAGCACACAATGGAATATTAAGCCACCTAAAAGAATGATGATGAATCTACAAAACATCTCATAACACAGATGAATCTAGAGGACATTATGCTAAGTGAAATTAGTCTATCACAAAAGGACAAATACTGTATGAGACCACTACTGTAAAAAGTCAAGAAAGGGTTTCACACAGAAAGAAATGAGGAAGGCTGAAACAAAAGGCTGAAGGAGCCCATCACTGAAACCTTCAAAACCTTTACAAGCGTTTAACAGGCAGGATTAAAGTAGGCATTAATCTTGGTGATTAACACACTGTCTTTCCCTTCTGTTATCATTCTCATCTGAGTAAATAGTATAGCCAGCCTTTATTTATGACATTGAGATCTTTAGATCTACTATTCCTAATGGTGTATTCCTTAAAAGATAACTCTTCCCCAATTAGTTATAGCTGAGAGCCATAGCCCATTACAATGTGGCCATGGGAAATGTGACACAGGGCCTCGGGCAACCAAGATAAGGAGGAAGTGGAGATAACTCCCAGACAGAGAAGCCTGGAGATGCCCACTCTCATACCATCCCTCTTGCAGAATCAATCTCTCTAGACAGGTGCAAGGCACCTGAGGGACCGAAGATGGTTTCTTTGTCCCTGACCAGAAGAAAGGCCAAGAGACTACCAGACAAATACAACTCATGCTGTAATGAAAACACTATTAGCATTCTTAAGACCTAAACCTTCTCAGCCCGATTCCCTTTAAAAGCCCTAACCATTCCCCAGCTCGGGGAGACAGACATTTTGGAGAAACAATTCTCACTGTCTCCTTAGGTATCTATACTCAATAAACTTTTTGCTTTCTCTCTTCAACCTGTTGTTATTATTGGCTCTTCACAACAGGGGGTAAGGACTTTGTTTACAACAGAAACATTCTTTGAATGATTAACAGGGTGGGAGAGGAGGGGAGGGAAAATTACTAAGTAGGTAAGAGATATGTATTTATAAGGGTGAAGAAAAAAACATACAAATAGTGGGATCATTAAGGAAAAGGAAGACATGGAGAGGTGCACAAGCGTTACAGACAACAAAGGTAAATACTATCACATACACAATGCTGCATTGTCAGCAATAGCAAACATTAATCTATGACATGAACATAGATAGGCAAGCAACATGATCAGGTATGGGTAGGCAAATGAGACTATACCCACAACCATACGTAGATGTGGCAGATGATATTTCTGCATAAGTACACATATAAGCTTTAGTAATGTCCATATGTGCAGTAGAACTAACAAGGGGCAAAGATATCAAAAGTTCTTAGCTATAACCAAACACCTAGAGGGAGTGGGTCAATGGGCCTACAAGCTCAGGACCATAGTCACAGGGAACATTGAGGTCAATTGGCATAACATAATCCATAAAGACATTTTTCTACATTCTACTTTTGTGAGTAGTGACTAAGGTCTGAAAAGTTTGTGAGAGACCACCTAAGGTGCAACAATGGATCTCTCCTCCTCCAGAACAAAGTAGAATGAAGAATATAAAAAACACAGGGAAAGAAAACCAAATGAATGGAAACAATCAGTCCTAGCAACTGGTACACCATCTGATCTGCAACCTATACAACTATGAGACCAGAAGAACTAGATGGTGCCCGGCTACCACTGTCATCCACTTGGAAGGGATGTACGAGATCCTGCATAGAGAGGGAGAACAATGTGGAACAAAACTCAAAATCATTTGGAGGCAAAAAAAAAAAAAAAAGAAGGTGGGGACCAGGTTTGCTGGTCCAATAGAGCCTGGTGAAACCACTGAGACTATGGCCCCTAGCTGCCCTTCAGGTCTGGAATTGAACCCACACCTGTGGTTTCCAGCCAAACAAAGTACAGGCAAGTGAGTTAAACATTTACCTCAAGTAGACACACACCCTGGAGAGAACAATCATGGGAGAAGGAAGGGCTGCTTGTGCACAGGGAGACAGCTCAGGGCGCAGAAGAGTATGGAGGGATGGACACTGGGAAGAGGTAACTATGGGGAGGAAGTGGGAGGGGAACTATTGCACTGTAAATTTTGGTCAATGACATGAGACAAAGTATATGTGAACTGCTGTATGAAAAGTGAATTTACTCTGTAAATCTTCACCCAAATCAAAAAAAAAAAAAACACAGGGAAAAAATTAGTCCTTGTGAACCTCAGCCTCCATGACCCTGAGACTAGAAGAAGAGATAATGCCTGACTACCTCTGTCAACAATTCTGGAAGGAATCCCAGTAAAAGGCCCTGGATAGAGTGGGAGAAAAGCAGAGGGAAAAAAACCTCAAAATGTTGATAGGGATGTGTGAAACCCCAGAGATTATGGCCCTTAGTCACCCTTTAGGCCTTGAACTGGACCCACATCCTTGGTTCAACTTTCAGCCAAACAATAGACAGGTAAACAATAACACTAGGAATGTATGGGCTTCTTAGAACAATCAAACATAAGAGAGCAAAGGAGCATCATTTGCCCAAGGGTAAAACTCAGAAGGCAGCAAATGGATAGGAAAGCAGGACAAAGGGAAATCGTAACCACAGGGAAGAAGTGGGAAAAATACTGTTACAGTGTGAGGACTGTAATCAATGTCGTGAAACAAAATATGTATGAGCTGTTGAAATTAGAAAATCAATTTACTTTGTAAAAACTCTCACTCAAATCACAATAACAGTTCAAAAAATGAAAATAAATTAAGGTTTCAGCACTTTCTTAACAGAATTTTCAAGACTGGCATATTTGTAGCCAGTAAAATGTTACTACTATTTTTCTGTAATAATTGTGCATTATCTAATAAAATTGACAGAATAATCAAAATAAATAAAATGTTACTAGCAGAAAAAACCTTTCCTTTTACTTTTTAAAATGTATTATTAATTTTGTAAGTGACAATAGTAAAAATGCCTTTTGTTAATGTGTTCATTCAGTTCAATCACTCAGTATTGCAATGAACTATGAAGGGGTGAGGGTGAAATAGATGCAAAATTGGCTGACTTACCTCTGAAATTGTTAGTCCACCTTTCATCTTCATCAAAATGAGCATCCCCTCCAATACCTGGGCCTGGTTGAAAAGCATGAGCAAGGTTTCCTCCAGGTCCATCAAAGGGAGAATTGTCGCGATGATCTGAAAAAACAGAATTCAACCAATGCCTTTCTTGGTTCTTATTTAGACTACCCAGGAAGGCCAGCATTGTTTTGTTAAGATGCAACAGACTTACATCAGATGCGATGTAGTCTCCCTCCTTTAACTCGTAAAATCAACATTCCTCCTAAAGAAGGATTTCCAGCTACAAAGCTGAAGAGGGTTACTAGCAAGGTGAAGTTAAGACAACAATACTAGCAGAATACAAGAAGAGCTTACCTCCCCGAACAAAGGATATCATTATGTCTGCTTGACCCTCAGAGACTTTGGTGAACTTCAAGGGAGTGACATTACTCCAGAGTTGGAAGGCTTTCTCAATTGCATGGTCCACATCTGCTTGAGGTAAATCGGGTGTGTAATTTTCTATCCTTAAAATGAAACAGGAGAGAACGAAGATAAGCTAGGCCTTATTTCTTCCCACTGCGATGAGAAATGGCATTGACATTCTGCTGTTCAGTCTGCTTACTTGTAGGTCAGTTGTGTTTTCTCCCACTGAGGATGCCCTTCAGTGAGGACAAACCGAGCCACATCGGGCACCCCGCATCTAGGCTTCTTCATCACTTTCAAGGTTTCAGCATCTGGCTTCCCAGTCACCTTCAGCCCAAAGAATTCCTGCATTTGCTTCAGCTTTTCAATCACTAGGCCACTATCTCCCTTCCTTTCAGTTTGGTCTCCCTCATTCTTCAGGTCGTAGTAGTCTTCCAGGTATTTCTGGTAAAAAAACAAAAAAAATTGAAATACAGATGGGAAATCTTTCTAATTGAAAATAATAATAATAAATTGACAGCATGAAGTTTTAGTTGAAGCAGAGAACTACTTTTAAAATTTGGTTTTAGATTTTGTGAGCCTTATTATCCTTATTAAGGAGCTCTGATGACATAGTGTCTAAAGCATTTAACTGCTAACAAGAAGGTTGGAGATTCAAACCCACTAGCTACTCTGCAGAATGTAGATTGGGCAATCTACGTTTGTAAAGATTTACTGCCTCAGACTCAATGGCAGTGAGGTTTTTTGTTTGTTTGTTTGTTTATTGTCCTTATTACAGAAGCTCTGGTGGTGAAGTGGGTAAGACATGTGACTACTAACCAGAAGGCCAGAGGTTCAAACCCACCAGCCATTCTGAGGGAGGAAGATGAGGCAATCTACTTTTGTAAAGATTTACAGCCTTGGAAATCCTATGGGGGCCTCTATGAGTTAGAATCGACTCAATGGCAGTGGGTTTATTATCCTTAGTATTAGCAAAAAATGCAAATGCAGAGTAGAAATTCTACTACCGTTAATTATTATGAAGTGGGAATTACAATTTTTAAAGCCTAATTTTCATACTAAGGAGCTCTGGTTGCATAGTGCCCAAGGCATTCCACTGCTAACCAGAAGGCCAGTGGTTCAAGCCCACCAGCCACGCCTCGGAAGGAAGTTTGGGCAATCTACTTCTGTAGTGATACTGCCTTGGAAACCCAAGGAAGGATCGTTATGAGTCCAATTCGACTCCACAGCAGTGAGTTTTTTTTCTTAATTTTCATACTGCTCTTTTCGGTCCATTTTACCTTCAATTGGTCTATCCCTGGTCAGAGAAATTTTTAAAGAAGATACTATTTCTGGTTTTTTTTTTTTTTTTTTTAATTACTCTGTAAAAGAACTGTATCCTTAAACGAACTCCCTTATACTACTATTGAAAAAAAGCATGCCATTTCTTCCATGTGAAATTCATTATTTACCTGTACCGTCTCTACGTCTTGCTCTTGTGTTTCTGAAGTTGCTGGGAAGCCTTGAGACCCCAGACCCCAGAGAAGCAGCAGGAACAGAAGAAGGGTGGGCATGTTGGCCATTGTCTTCTTTGTAGGTGCTCCAATATCTCAGCCAGGAAGCTCCCTCTTTATATAGAGCTCTTGCACTTTTAGAAAACCCAAGGCTGTGTGACTCACATTTCATAACATCCTCTTGATTAGCAATAAACAACCTGAGCAATCATCAGAAATGTTGACTCCAAGCAGATTATGTAGATCCATTTGGTGTTGCAATATCATGATTAATATCCAACAGGACTTATGTGAAGGAAACACACTCCTCCATGCACACAGTTGCTTACTCCATTTCATTTCTATTCTGTTTGGGAAAAGCTTCCTTTATATACAGATGTCAAAGAACACACCATGACCTTTTTTAAAAATGCACTTTACAACTTGATTATACCAAAAAAAGAAAGAAAATACACTGTGCAACTTGCTTGTGCTGGTTGTCAAGTGTTCCTGGACTCTGCACATACCAGGCACCCAGCACAGTAGTCAGAACTGCTGACTCAATAATCTGACCTATGGCTGCTCAGCGCCTGTACTGACCAAAGCTCACCTCCTTAGGCTGAACTTTGCAGTGACTCACCTGGGTTTTCTGGTACACCTTCTGCTTATGCTAAGATGCCTGATACACTATTTCAATAGCATCATCTCTTCCCTTAATCTTCATCCAGGATTTGAGAGCCTTTGCTGAGAAGCTCCCTAGTCTATAGGTGGAATACAAGATCATTCCTTGCCCTGTCCTATCAGCATCACAGACCAAACAGGAGCCCTTCTCTAAAACCTGTCCCAATGGGCCAGGTAAGGCAGGAGCTGGAAAGAGATCAAGCATGAGTTGAGTTCTTGTTTTTAACCATTCTTGTTCCCCTCCGTGAGGGCACATCTTTGTCCTGTGGAAGTGGGTTGCATATGTATTCATTCTTGTATTCTGCATTCACCCATTCAAAATAATTTTTATCTAGAATCTTCTGTGCACCGATTACTAAGGGAAAACCAAATGAAAATTGTTGCCATCAAGTTGATTCCAGCCCATAGTGAAAACACGTGCTACAGAATAGAAAAGCATTCCATAGGGTTTTCATGGCTGTGATCTTCAGAAGCAGATCACCAGGTCTTCCTTTAAAGGCACCTCTGGGTGGGTTTAAACCTCTGGTCTTTCAGTTAATTGTCAATAGCTTAACTACACTACCCAGACACCCCACCTCCAATTACTAAAGGAGGTGGGCTTATTAGTATAGGTATCTCATGGCATGCCTTAACATAGCTGTAATGAAAGTCTCTATGAACTGTATGGGTTAGTTTTGCAATGTGCATGAGGAGGAAAAGATTCTGGAGCTATTCTAAAGTTTCTGGACCTTCATTAATCATTCTTCTTCTTCCATGAATTTGGCCAAATCTCAGTGCCCCTTCTAGTATTATTTTTGTGTTTTTCTTTAAATTCCATCAATTTAAAAATTTTACCTCATTTTGTGCCATGCTATCAGTAAAATCATACACATTAAAATGTATACACATTAAAATAAATTGATATGTAGTGAAAAATGTACATTCATGTACTCACAGCCCACAACAAATTATCTTGTGTGCCATCAGTGGCATTCATACCATCCTTTGTGAAAACAACAACCACCACCTCCTAACATATCTCTGTAGCTTCCTCTACTCATTGCTACCTACTTCCTTGAAAGTGTTTAAATGAGACACAAAGTTAAGGGACACTTGCCTGAATTCTCCATTTCTGTACTTTAGAGTCTCTCCCACTCTTCCCACTATGTCATTCGGTTTCTCAGAACTTTATCTCATTACTGATTACTGTTTTCTTCACAAGAACAACATCTTATGCAGAAATAATGCCTCAGTGTATGTGAAATAAGAAGCCCTGGGTGACTCTGTGGTTCAGTGCTTGGCTGTTAACTGAAAGATGGATGGTTCAAACCCACCAATCAATCACTCCACAGGAGAAAGATGAGGCAGTCAGTTTCCATAAAGATTGCGTATTGCCATTGAGTCAATTCCGACTCATAGTGACCCTATAGAACAAGTAGAACTGACCTATAGGGATTCCATGGTTGTAAATCTGCCTTTGCTGGGAACAAGCTAACCATGCCCAAGTGAATAACCAAGCCATCACCAGACCTATGAGATTTATGAATGTGCATCAGTTATAACCTTATAAACTGCTGATTAGTTTGCCACTGATGGGCTATGACACTCAGATATCTCTATTGGGTAGCCCCTCTATTGGCTATGTGGAACCAACTTTTGGCCCTGGGTCCCACCAGGCTGCATTGGAAGGTGCACTTTGGGTCTGAGTTAGACTCAAGGATATAGTTTAACTGAATTCCTTTACTAGAGAATGCATCCATATTAAGAGCTCAATGATCTTGAACAGTATTTTATTTGCTTGATAATCCAGTGGCAGAACAGATAGGATTTGAAGATGATTGGCATATGTAGAAATATTAACCAAACATACACAAACTACACTAAATGATCATGCCCTTGATACGAAGAGAAGAATGATCAATGATCAATGATGAAATAACAATGATGAGAAAAGTAGTATTCCAAAAGAGAATAGCCTTTGACATTCTCACTGAAGCCCAAGAGGTACAAGTGCCATAATAAAATCTGATTGCTGTGTCTATATTTCTGAAAACAGTGCTATAATAGTATTAAGTTAATCATATGCAATGTTTTATATCATATCTTAATGATCCTGTTCTATCTGTTGTTATGTGTCATCGAGTCAGACCCGACTCAGAGCGACCCTTCCTTGGGTTTCCGAGGCAGTATCACTGCAGAAGTAGGATTGCCAAACCTTCCTTCCGAGGAGTGGCTGGTGGGTTTGAACTGCCAGCCGTCTGGTTAGCAGGCAAGTGTCTTAGCCACTATGCTACCAGAGCTCCCAAGTCCTAATCCTACTTGTTCTAAATGTTTCATGATACTTCAGGGATACTGATGTGGTATTCAAAATGTGATGTGACATTCAAAATATCTTTTTGTTAAATTTCTTCCTAAAATAGCAATGAATTTCGAATTAAGATTTGTTTAAGTAGCCAACCTCAAAGATTCACATGGTCCTGAATTTTGAAATTTCCATCTGTGCATACAGAGCAGAACTCCAAATATAACACATGGAACTTCCGGACTGTGCTACTGTGTAACTTATCTGAGTAAAAAAGAAAACATGAAAATCTAAAACAGAATAGGAAGGTTTCAATCCTACTTAAATTCTAGCAATGCCTGGACTTACCAGAGTTTCCAAAAGCATGTTAAAATTGTATTTGCCGTTCACTTATCATTTATTTTACTCTGAGACCTTCTGTCCCTGCCCCCCACCCCCCTGTGCGCGCACGCGCGCGCGCACGCGCACACACACACACACACACACACACACACGCTTCTAGCCCCCTTGTAGATGTAATTTTGTGGAAATTATCCCTCTGTGTGTCCTGGGAGAAAGAGAAATAGAAGAGTGTTCTCATTGGTGTGGCTATGTTAAATGGCACCTGATGATTTCCAAGTAGGCAAATCATTTCCACAGTTTTCTTGGTTGCTTCATGCAGGCAGCTCTGTTGAAGGCCTTGAATATATTTGTATTTTTCCTTATTAAATTCAGTCTTGGAATTTTTATTTTATGCTTTAAAATTCAGCCTTTTGAATTCTCATACCTCCATTTGAATTTCAGGTATTAAATTTTTTATTTTCCCTAAAATTCCTGAAATGGCCTTTAGGCAGAAACACTATTTGATGCTTTTTTTTTTTTTTTTGTCAAAAAAACATATGAGAAAAGTTTCTCCTTCTCTTTCTTTCTCTCTCCAGTTCTCACTTCCACACTTGCTCTATCTCTGTCCCTCTGACCAGACTTAATTAAACTATCAATAGAAATGAGCTTTTTTTAAGGTTTACTCTCTAGCCACTCCTCGGAAGGAAGGTTGGGGAATCTACTTCCATAGTGATACTGCCTTGGGTTTCCAAGGCGGGGTCGCTGTGAGTTGAGTCTGACTTGACGGTGCATAACAACAACAACTCTAAATCTTAACATACTCACACAGTCTATTTGGCTTCATCAGATACCTAATTATTTTAAAGGCAACAAGTACAAAGCCTGTCCATCCTTCATCATCTTGCCTCTACTCAATGCCCCTAAATATGTCCATATGAACACTAATATTGAACACATACTATATTGATAATTTTGCATGGATTAGTTCTAGTCTGAATAATCCAGGTAGGAAACATTGTCCTCATGGAATTATTTTTTCCTCAGTGGTAAAGAATTTACATATAAAGCAGTTCAATAACCAGAGGTCATTAATGAAGATTTAGTGAAGGGAGTCATTCATTTTGCCAGATGTGCTACTACCACAACCACTTCAGCAAAGCTGGGGCTGTACCATGCCCAGATGAGGTAAACCAAATTTTGCTGCCAGGACATGTTTTAGCTCATGTTATATAAGGACAATGTTTTACTTTCAATAGGAATACAGAAGTGGTCTCAGAGTGAGGTGGCTTGGACACAAAAATGTTATTATTCCCACATTACAATTCTACAATCCTTCAGATTGCTGCTACTACTGCCACTGAAGATAAGGATGATGGTGGTGGAGACAAATGTGCACAAGTGCCACAGATGTCCTTTTTAAACTCACAAAGTGTCACAGCCAAGGCAGGCAATCTCATAGGATTGAAGTCCTCACTGGGTCTCCTACATCAGTTAGCTTCTTTGCTCCCTGTAAGTACCCTCAATTGGAGATAATGTATAACAAATTTACCAGGGAAGAGACCAGAGAGGTCTTTCAATTCACTTACAAAATGCAGCCAAATCTCTGTAGGGTCCTACAGGCCCCAGTTAGACAAGTTAGAGTTGAGTTGTGAGAACAGATGTTTTGCTTGGAACTAGAGAACATTTTTGTTTCCTTTATCTGCCGAGCTGCCTGCTTCTTTTGGTTAAGACAACTGCCTTCCGACTACATCAGTAGGCAGTCTTTCACCAGCACCCTTATCCTGTGCTTACATACATAGCATGTTCT